GTCCAGACTGGTCCAGAGATCTGATCTTCAGTCGTCCTGAGGTCCAGACTGGTCCAGAGATCTGATCTTCAGTCGTCCTGAGGTCCAGACTGGTCCAGAGATCTGATCTTCAGTTGTCCTGAGGTCCAGAGATTTTCTCATGAGGTTAATAAAAATAAAGTTGTCTGATCAGATTAAATTACGACCCTTTAATCCTGAACGTTCACAGATTAAATCCAGACCTTTCTAACCTCTGACTTGCTTCCATGAACTCTCTGGTTTCATTTGGACCTTAAACTGAAAACGTGTTTTTAATCAACACTCATTAAATAAAAGTTTAAAACTAATGAAGAAGAAAAAAACAAGATTTTAAACTTCACGTTTATTGATCTTTGAGATTTTTGATGGATTGATTTATTTTGAACCGTTTATTAAATCAGAAAACAGATTAATCGTTAACGGGGGGGCAGGTTCCCCCCCCACCGAGGTTTTACCCGGAGGAAGAGGAGGAGGAGGAGGAGGAGCGTTCAGTCCATCCCTTTCTAACGAGGCGTTCATGGGCCCAGCAGCTTATGGGCCCAGAATAAAAAGTTCTGACCCGTCTGATTATTTCCAGGATCTAAAGATGAAAGAAACAGACGACATCATTTTAAAGTTTCATAAATCTGTCGTTACGGTTTAGAAGCTGCTTCTGATGATTTCATGTCAAATTAAAATCAAACTCCGGAGTAAAGAAACAGACGGTGGACGCTCCGGACCTTCAGATCCCCAGAACCAGAAACGGAGCTGGTTCTGGGCTTCTTGAGGAGATTTACTGAACAGAACCAGCTCAGTGGTCCCCTCTGGTTCTGATCCATCAACATGGAGGGAAAAGTGGACCCTAAACAGGAACCAGGTCGGACCTCCAACAAGCTGATGAGAACTGCTGGTCTGGTCCGGTCTGAGCCACAGACGGTACAGACTGGGTCACGTGGTTCTGAACTAACGGACCTCACAGTAGTTCTGATGGTTCTGATCCAGTCTGTCCTCACAGGTTTCTGAGACCCTCCTGGTCCTGGTGTGATCGGCTGCTGAAAGGTCAAAGGTCTCAAGGACTTAGCCGGTCCTGGTCTCCTGGTTCCAGCAGCCTCAGCCAGTCCCCCGGTCCCCTCAGCTGGTCCTGGTGTCGGTTCCGGCAGCCTCAGCAGGTCCGGGCTGCGAGGTGACGGCCTCGTGCTTCTTCATGTGCTTGCAGAAGGTTCTGGCGCCGCTCAGGTTCTTCTGGCAGATGTGGCAGAAGTAGGGCCGGGCGTCGGAGTGAGAGTCCACGTGGTAGGTGAGCTCCAGGGCCCGGCTGAAGCTCTTGCTGCACAGCGGGCACTGGAAGCGGACCCCGGAGTGGATCAGCTGGTGGTTCTTGAGCACGCAGGGCTGCTTGAAGGACTTGTGGCACACGGAGCACTGGTAGGGCCGGGCGTCGGTGTGGACCCGCAGGTGCCGGCGCAGGGCGCTGGAGAAGGTGAAGCTCTTGCTGCACACGCTGCAGGTGAAGGGCTTCTCTCCGGTGTGGATCCTCTGGTGCTCCTTCAGGTGGGCCTGCTGCACGAAGCCCTTCCTGCAGGTGGAGCACTGGAAGGGACGCTCGCCCGAGTGGACCCGCAGGTGTTTCTGCAGCGCCGACGCCTTGAAACAGTCTCGACCGCACACCGGACAGCTGTGCTTGCTCTTCACACCAGAACCGCCGGCTGCAGGTGGGTCCGGAGGTTCTGAGGGGACGGCCGGGTCTGTGGGACACACGGAGGACTCATGAGACCAACAGGCTGAGACAAATACACACATGGTGTGTCCCCAACTAAAGATTAGACAAACTGAAGACAGATTAGAGACAGACTGAAGACAGATTAGAGACAGACTGAAGACAGATTAGAAACTGAAGACAGATTAGAGACTGAAGACAGATAATAGAAAAACTGAAGACAGACTAGAAACAAACTGAAGACAGATTAGAAACAAACTGAAGACAGATTAGGGACAGACTGAAGACAGATTAGAGACTGAAGATAGATTAGAGACTGAAGACAGATTAGAGACAGACTGAAGACAGATTAGAGACTGAAGACAGATTAGAGACAGACTGAAGACAGATTAGGGACAGACTGAAGACAGATTAGAGACTGAAGACAGATTAGAGACTGAAGACAGACTGAAGACAGATTAGGGACAGACTGAAGACAGATTAGAGACTGAAGACAGATTAGAGATTGAAGACAGATTAGGGACAGACTGAAGACAGATTAGAGACTGAAGCCAGATTAGAGACAGACTGAAGACAGATTATGGACAGACTGAAGACAGATTAGAGACTGAAGACAGATTAGAGACTGAAGACAGATAATAGAAAAACTGAAGACAGACTAGAAACAAACTGAAGACAGACTAGAAACAAACTGAAGACAGATTAGAAACAAACTGAAGACAGATTAGGGACAGACTGAAGATAGATTAGAGACTGAAGACAGATTACAGACTGAAGACAGATTAGAGACAGACTGAAGACAGATTAGAGACAGACTGAAGACAGACTAGAAACAAAATGAAGACAGATTAGAAACAAACTGAAGACAGATTAGGGACAGACTGAAGACAGATTAGAGACTGAAGACAGATTAGAGACAGACTGAAGACAGATTAGAGACTGAAGACAGATTAGAGACAGACTGAAGACAGATTAGGGACAGCTGATCGCGGTCCTCCTGTCCTCAGTGTCCCCCTGTAAAACCAGAGGACGTACCTTCTCTCCTCCTCCATTGCTCCTCCTCTCCTTCAGAGTTGATCAAACCGCTGACGTCCTCCTCCTCGCGTCGCCCGCCTCCACTTCTCTCAGAAGCCACGCCCACCTGGTCGTCGTGGTAACCAGCCACAGGTTTGGACTCGGGGGCGGCGGGCTCGGCGGTGTTGGTAGAGAGGTTCGCTGAGTCAGACAGGACCTTCAGAAACAATGGATTCGTTTTTTTACCAGCGGTACTCGAACGTCTCTGAGGGTCTGAACAGTGAACGTTTGTCGCTCTGGAGACGAGAACAAGTGAAACGAAAGGTTTTTATGATTTTGGAGCCTAGAGGCCTTGACCCCAGAGATTAATCTGTGACCGCCACCATCGTTTCAGGAAACTATAAACTAGAACGCCGTTTATACACACGTATACGTGGCAGCCATCTTGGATTCTAACGTGGCGGCCCAGTTTTGGACAGGAACCGTTCTGATGCCTACACGCAGCCACACACCAAAATGGAAGTTGTACAAACTTATTTTTTAGGATTTCGTGCACTGAACGTGCACAGAGGAACTGACGGAGGGTCTTAAACTCCTCGTGTTCGCTCCGTGACGGGACAACAAACAATAAATTAATCAGTCATATTTATGAGTCAGACATCACGTTTTTATTTTTAACTTTAAGAAATGGAAAAATAAAAATGGACCAACAGATGAGAGTAAAATTTAAAACATATTTAAGGTTTAACCTGTTTAAACTGTAAAACTAAGACTTCTCTGAGCCGCCACCAGGGCTTCACTTGTAAACCCATCCATGCCACAAATAGACGGATTTTTACTAAAGTACCGTAAGTCTCGAGCTACAGAACGCACCGGTCTCTAAGCCGCACATATTAAACATAAATCAATATTTTGTACAGAAACAAGTTGCTGTGGTTATTCAGGCATCCACCGCTCATCGTCAGAATGTGTGCCCAGCTCCAGCTGTGTGCAGCTGTTGCAGTACAAGCATCAGCCACCGGATGGCGTGCCGCAGAACACAGCGCTCAGACTGCATGGTCGACAGAGGTCTTCGTGATGTTTCTCTGCCCGACTCAGGATTACAACCTTCAAAATGAACACAAGAACTTTCTAAACATAATCACTGGACAGCCGAACACCTACGTAACCAAAATTATTTTAAAATTATGTACCCGTAAATATTACCCAGAAGTCTTACTGAGGTCATGTGACCGGAAGTCAAATAGTACCGGTAAATACGATAAATATTCATGAAATTGGTAGCATTGATTAATTAATTATCTAAAATTAAATAATCTGCTCTCAAATACAGTTTGTACAAATCTATGCATGCATGTCCAAAAAGGCAACTTGAGGTAAGTTTTATTAATGTTGGATAAGTTTCAAAGTTAGAATTAAATTCTTCTAACACAAAACATGTTTGTTTTATTCTTAGCTTTAAAGTGGATATTAAAGTGATTAAATGGCTTCAAACATCTGCTAAGTTCATGACAAAAACCAACACATTTTCCTCTTGTTAGTATTTTACATTGCTTTATAATGAAGCTGTTAATGTTTCTATTTTATATATATAATTTTCTTTTATGTTTCAGGTCATACTTATTTTTTATGACTGTCTATTCAATTCAGTTTATTTATAAAGCGCCAAGTCACAGCTGAAGTCATTTCAGGGAAGTGTACAGAAACATTAAAATGTTTATTCATATATAAAAATAATAAATTAAGACTATTTATCTGAGCAGACTGCTTTGAATTTAACTCCATCACAGAACTCTCTTGAGCTGATAAATATTTCCTGGAGGGTAAAAGTAAACTGCAAACATCCAGTCAAGCTGTGAAGCAGGCAGTCTGAGTTCAGTCTGCTCCTCCAGACGGGCTGACTGAACTCAGACTGCCTGCTTCGGACTGAACGACAGGAACACACCGCTGAAGCCACGGAGCTCCAACGTCCAACAGAAAACTAACGTTACCGCGGTGCCTGGCTAAACAACCCTCGCGCTCTTTAATGTGCTGCTTTTTCAAATGTTTATCAAGTTCGATGTCTTGAAGGTTGCGACGGAGCTTCCTCCTCTCGGTGCAGCGGCTCTGCAGACAGTGCACGTTGCTGTCTTGTGGTGTTTAGTGTAAAATACTTCCACAGCGGACATGTTACGATGAAAAGGTGGTTAGCCGTTAGCAACAGTGCTGCTCAGTGCTCAGCCCTCAGCAGAGTATTTACTCACGTTGTAGCTGCTGCAAACTACGGAATGGATTTCCTGAATGTGAGGCGGGTCTTATTACTCTGGGTTCATGAGACACGCCTCCGTTCAGGAAATCCATCCCATAGTTTGAAGCCAACCTGCAGAGCAGGTCATCAGACGCAGACATGCATCATGGATCGGCAGGTTGGATCGGAAAAATCCGGTACATAAATTATGCTGGTATCTGAGGCCGATACCGGATCGGTCCCATCACTAGTTGAAGGTAGATGTGAAGTCCACAAAGAGCATACGGACGTATGAGTCCTTCTGCTCCAAGTGGGTGAGCACAGTGTGGACCACAGAGGAGATGGGGATGCACCCCCCCCCCCCCCCCCCCCCACACTCGATGGCTCCGAGCCCGACTCCTCCGTCTGTCGCGGCTGCCTGTGGGCTCCTGCCCACGTAGCTCGGCACTCACCCCCACCACTCTTTTAGGGGCAGAGATTTTTTTTAAGGGTAGACGTGGAAAAGCTTCACTTGAAGGTGCAGCTCGTACACTGTTGTGTTTAAAATGAGTGTTTATGTAATTATTTTCAGTTTACATATCTAATATAAGTTTTGTTCGTTCAAGGCAGTCACGTTTGTTCATAACTTTATTATTAGTAAACCTCAGTTACTGGATCCTAGCAAACATGAACACACTTTGTTAAAATAAGAGTTCCTGGATCCTGTTCCGCCAGGATCCAGCTCAAACTAAGCCCCGCCCTCACCTCTTCTTCCTCTACCTTCATCACCCTGACCTCGTCCTCCTCGTTCTTCACGTTGAGCCAGAACTCCTGAAACAAAAAAACACATCTTAGCTGTTGAACACGTTCAAACTAACGCTTTATTTTGACGATTTCTCTGTAAAAACCTGCTTTTGTTTTGGTAAAAATTATTTCACGTCGTTTGAAAGGCCGAAAACAGAAACCTCGAAAACGTGATGATTTTTTTATTTTACCGGACAGATCTCATTGAGATCAACGGTAATTTCACAGGAGGCCTCGCCATAAATGATAAAGATCCAGAACCTCCGGTACTCAGCAGAGGTGGTGCTGGATCCTCCAGACATTTTTCTTTGGACTTCCTGGTAGCTGAAAATTTGACACATTTTTTTGTTAAAGTTCTGTGTCGACCCGACTCAGGTCCACCCTGAGTCTGAGAACACTGATCCGAACAAAGAACTGAGAAGAAAACTCTTCAGAACATCTGGAGAACTGTTGATCCAGAACCACTTTGCCAGTCTGGATCATTAGAGGGACCGGATCAAAACTGAGGACCAGATCCGGAGGTTTAAACAGGAACACATCTATAAAAAACTGCAGTGCAGCACCCATCAGGACTACCGAGGACTCTGGGGTCACCTTGTCTGCAGGGTCTGGGATGACCCCGTCCCTGATGTGGACCCTCATGTGTTTTCGGAGCATGTAGGGTTTCTGGAAGCTCTTGGAGCAGATGCTGCAGCTGTGAGCCTTGTGGCTCTTCTTATTGGCTCTCTTTGTGCTCTCTGAGGTTAGGGGCGGAGCCTCTGCAGCACCCTGAGTCCTCAGGTGGTCCTCCTGCAGGGACGGAGACAGGAAGATGGAGAAGAAGACAGACAAGTTTTAGATTTTGCCTCATAGAAGAACGAAGATTTACCTGAGAAATTATTTTTAACAGTTCTTCACTCAGGTGACTCCTACCACCAGCTGCTGAGGTAACTTCCTGTACCACCTGTCTCTGTCTTCCTGTACCACCTGTCTCTGTCTTCCTGTACCACCTGTCTCTCTGTTGTCTTCCAGTAGCACCTGTCTCTCCTCACCTCTCTCTGTTGTCTTCCTGTAGCACCTGTCTCTCTGTTGTCTTCCAGTAGCACCTGTCTCTCTCTTCTCTTCCTGCAGCACCTGTCTCTCTCTTCTCTTCCAGTAGCACCTGTCTCTCCTCACCTCTCTCTGTTGTCTTCCTGCAGCACCTGTCTCTCTGTTGTCTTCCAGTAGCACCAGTCTCTCTCTGTTGTCTTCCTGTAGCACCTGTCTCTCTCTGTTGTCTTCCTGCAGCACCTGTCTCTCTCTTCTCTTCCAGTAGCACCTGTCTCTCCTCAACTCTCTCTGTTGTCTTCCTGCAGCACCTGTCTCTCTGTTGTCTTCCAGTAGCACCAGTCTCTCTCTACTCTTCCTGTAGCACCTGTCTCTCCTCACCTCTCTCTGTTGTCTTCCTGTAGCACCTGTCTCTCTGTTGTCTTCCAGTAGCACCTGTCTCTCTGTTGTCTTCCAGCAGCACCTGTCTCTCCTCACCTCTCTCTGTTGTCGTCCTGCAGCACCTGTCTCTCTGTTGTCTTCCTGCAGCACCTGTCTCT